CAACTGATAAGGCTGAAAATTTTTTCACTTGTTATTTACAGTAAGATAAATACATTTACCAACTTTTATTAAAATAAAACCATTTAAACTGAGTGGTCGGATTTATATGTCACTTAGTATACATATTTCGATCACAGCATAGTTATGAATCACCCTATAGACAAAAATATGTTCTAAGTAAGAAGCATACAGTTTATAATAAACCTTTTCACTCTCCCTGTATTTAGATAATTGCAGCTTGTTATCCCTGCTGTAATATATTCTATTATAATATATTATTCATAAAAATCAAGTTTTGAAAAAGAAACAGATACATACCTAAGACTAAAAAGGGTTGGGCATGTTTTTTGGAATAAAGTAGGAACTATCAAAAATAGTGAATGTGCCATGTTTGTCTCCCGCATCCACGCTTATGCTCGACCGACCGACTTATGTCGTCTTTAATGGCATGCAAATCGTTTTCAGAGAATTAACAGTCAATTTTTTATTGCTACGGGTGATCTGTGGTGATTATTCGTCGGTTGTTATCTCTCGACTGTTAAACATTGTTGCGTTTACAGTAAATAGATACTTGTGGACTCTTAAAGTAATGTAATGATTGACTGCCAATGGATATGGAATATGAAATGCCCCTTTACGTTTCAAGCGTTCCTGTAATGATTCGACTTGTCGACCTGAAAAATATCGGGAAGATTTTGCCAGTGGAGACAGGGATCTAAGATGTAAAAATAATAGTAATAATAAATAATAAAGCTGCATTAGAATCAAAAGGGCACTTCTTATATTGACTAACTGCTTCTGCCACCCGGTCGGGTATTTATTCCCCTATCGACCAGACGAAAACTGTTCCAGCGTCTTCCAGGGTGAGTAACGAACTTCCATGTCCTTGATGGTAGCAGATTCATCGTGTCGGGGTACAGAAATACTCAATCAACAAAATCTTGTTGCCGCGCCTTGTCTACAACGTGAAGCAGCTACCAACGGAGTTCCCGTTGTGCAGAACCCCGTCCAAGATATTCCATTACAAAATGAAAACAGGTAATTATATTTTCAAAATATCAAAAACCAGTCTTCGATTTATTATCGCCTCGAATAGCGACCTCATGATAGCTCTGGCAAAAACAGAACCTAGAATCAACCAACTGATACAGAGCATGCCATCTCAAGTGTCTCATTAGTACCTACTCTTATTTTATATATCCTTTAGTGATGACTTCGTCGATGAGCCTAATGGAGACCTTCTACCGACCACTATCTGCCATAGGTGTCCCAACAGCCTTTGCGAAGTTGAGTTCCTGCCTGAAGATGTATTAATGCACCTGCGAAATCTGAAGACCTCTTCGCCTGGTAAAGATGGGATGACGGCTGCTGTACTTAAAAACTGCGCTTCAGCACTGGCCCTACCATTAAGCTTGATATTCACATCGTCTTTTAGATCTCATACCCTACCCTCATGCTGGCTTAGTGCTTCTGTTACCCCTGTATTCAAAAAGGGCGACAAATCCTCCGCTAAAAATTATCGACCAATAGGTCTCGTTCCTATCGCCGCCAAAATAGCTGAAAGAATCATATTAGATAAGCTCCTGCCATTTGCTTTCGAAAATGACTTTATCCCTAAGAATCAGCATGGATTTCTCCCTGGTCGATCAATAATGACCAACCTTCTCCACTCTCTCAACGATTGGACTCAGTATCTGGACACAAAGACTCATGTTGATATAATCTACTTAGATTTTTCTAGGGCTTTCGATCGCGTACCACATAGAAGGCTTCTGTTTAAGTTGGAATGTATGGGAATAAGAGGCGAGTTGTTACTGTGGATTAAGGCTTTTCTCACCGGGAGGACTTTCTCTGTGCGCGTCAGTGATAGCCAGTCTCATCCTCATCATGTAGCAAGTGGAGGTCCTCAAGGCTCTGTCTTGGGGCCAGTGCTGTTCCTTCTGTATACAAGTGACCTGCCCGCATTGATTTCCTCCACATGTTCAGCTTATGCCGACGACACCAAGATTTACAATACTGTCGTAAATTCTGCTATGCTTCAACGAGATTTTGATATTGTTTGTCAATGGTCAGTCAGTTGGCTTTTACCCTTAAATCTAACTAAGTGTTGTGTCCTTCACCTCGGGAAGACAAATCCGCGATTTACATACAAGATCTCTGACCACAACATCGAAGCAGTTTCCAGCCACACTGATCTGGGCGTTGTAGTCAACGATCGTCTTTCCTGGTCAGAGCATATTCACCACGTTACATCAAAAGCCAAGAAACTTCTATACATGCTGGAGAGGTCTTTCAAAGGATCCGATGTCAATACTTGCGCTTACATTTACAAGGCATTCGTGAGGCCAATTCTTGAATTCGCTGGCCCGGTATGGGACACTGTGCTTCTGCGCGATAGAAATCTCGTCGAATCAGTACAGCGTCGGGCTACTCGTATCCCTTTTGGAGCACGAAGACCAAGCTATGAAGATCGCCTTGAATTATTCAACTTGACCTCATTCTCTGAGCGAAGACTTCGTGGCGATCTTATAGTTACGTTCAGGATACTTCATGGTTTGATGGGCACCAACCTCATGCATCTATACCGTCTGTCGCGCAGCAATCTACGCGGACACAGCTTCAAACTGCATAAGGAGCCATTTAAAACAACAGTCCGACAGTGGTTTCTTCCCAACCGCATATTCAACACCTGGAATAGTTTACCTGAAAGTGTGGTTGGTGCTACTTCAGTTAATAGCTTCAAAGTGCAGCATGATAGCTGGAGGAGTGTACAAACTTTATAGCTATGAACTGTCTTTTTTATTTTTTTCTATTTGATGTATTTGTGTTACGTGTCCGTACACTATATTTACTGCATGAGCTTATAGTACTGTGTACTCTTCTCATCTCAATTATCATAATAATAATAATAATAATAATCAACTAACAAGAAAATAGCTCTGAAAGTGGCAGATAAAATTGGGGTATACCAAGCGACAGTGTTCAATGTTTTGAACGAACATAAGAAAAAGCATGCCTTGCCTTTTCCAAGCCAATGGCGGGTAAAAATCGCAAAAGTATCATAAGATCGTTGGATGATGCTGACAAGCATGCGATTCGGAGGAAAGTGCACGAGTTCTTCTTCAGAAACGAAATACCGACAGTTGATAAAGTACTACGGGAGGTTAACGAGGATGCTATGTTACCAAATTTCAAACGTTCGACTATTCATAAACTTTTGAAGCATCTTAATTTCGAATGGGAGAAACGAGGTCGTAACAGCTTACTTATGGATAGAGAAGAAATTGTTCTGTGGAGGAGAGAGTACCTGACCAAAATTAAATCATTCAGGGATCAGCACAGGAAGATCTATTACCTGGACGAAACCTGGATTAACGCGGGGCACACTACTCCGAAGGTATGGGTTGACAAAACTGTGACTTCATCCAGAAGGGCATTTCTAGATGGACTGTCGTTTGGATTGAAAAATCCAGCAGGTAAATAGATCGAAGTAGTTCACGGTATCAATTTTTGCGCACAATATCTCTCTATCTCCGTACCTACAAGACGTGCATGTGTACTTATCGGATTTTATCTTTCTAGGCAAAGGATGGCTAGATGGCTTCGTGGATGACGGCTTATGTTCTTTTGAGTAAAAAAAACCACTGACTACCATGAAGAGATGAATGGGGAAGCATTCGAGAAGTGGTTTTGCCGGCATTTTACCACGTCTCGAAGACAGTTCTGTTGTTGTTTTGGATAATGCTCCCTATCATTCTCGCAAAATAGAAAAAATCCCAACTTCAGCTTTTAGGAAATCAGACATTCAGAGCTGGCTCCGTTCCAAAAATATAACTTTCGACCCTTCCGTTCTGAAATTACAACTATTAGATGTTGTGAAACAACACAGACCAAGACATGATAAATATGTCATAGATGAAATGGCCAAAGCACACCACAAAACAGTACTCCGTTTGCCGCCTTTCCACTGTGAGCTCAATCCCATTGAGCTCATATGGGCAGATGTTAAGAATTTTGTTGCTGCACACAATACAACATTTAAATTTTCTGACATACAAGAGCTGTTCAGAATTGCTATACATAGGGTCACACCAGAAAGATGGCAAAAATGTGTGCAGCATTTTCAGGAGAAAGTGGAGGTAGCAATGTGGGAGCTGGACAACATAATTGAGAGAGATTTTGAATCCATCATCATACACATTAATGACGATAGCTCTTCAAGTGAGTCTGAGTAAGTTTCGCGTTTTTGTTTTGTCACAGAATACATATTATGGGAATCCTAGTTATAGTGAAATATTAACGTACAGATAAACTACAGACAATACAAGTCCGAAGTACACCTTCAAAATCTATTTTCAATTGAACAGCCTTATATTTATTCCATGTACAAAAGTGTCATCTCTACCCTTCGTTGACTACGGATTCATTGTGCATAGTGAGCAGCTGGTTACCTCTGGTATGTATTTCTCCGTGTTGTCTAGTTCGAAAAATCTGTAGAAAAACTTAGCACCCCTTCAAGAATAAAAATTTGATTTTGCGACACCCTTAACTATAATTACTTCACTATATTAGATAATTTCGTTAAATACTGTCATCTTTGTTTTACAACACGTTGGTGGTAGTCCATCATTCGGAGGTAGCCCTGAATGCGGCCCTGTACGCCGTCCTTGCTTTTGGCATCTTGGGTGTAAATACACTTTACATGTATAGTCTGCTATTGACCTCTCGCAGTGGCCGAATCTATTGGTAGATGGCGCTTCGCGCTGTCTTATTCCGATAAAGTCAATCTACCTGAAAATGTCATATTTAGGCTATCGAATTACAAAAATTTTTTACGGAAAAATAGATAAAAAGTCTATCGGACTTACCAAATCGAAGCTGTATGCAAAGTTTCAAGAATATATCGATCATTCAATAAAAATAATGTATTTTGTCCCAGTACTGGCACGAATTATTAATGAATGAGCAGCATGTGTTCTGGTTCCAAACATCCAACCCTGTTAATATTTACCATTATTGACGTTAGTTTCAAGCTCTTCCCACTGGTCGCTGTCCACCTTCCTATACATGATAAACAAGACGGCTGGCAGCGCCTCGATGTCCTCCTCTACGTCTAATTTTAGCTCTAGCGAGTCTGAGGTAGCGTTGACTAAGTCAAGGGATAGAGGGGGATCTGGCCGGAATCCCAGGTGCAAATTGAAGGACTTTTCCAGCCTCCCGTGGGGGTTCCACGCCATGCATTTGTAGCTTTCCGATGCTGCATCCGACTTTCGGACCTGGAAAATGCAGATTCCGAGAGAATAGCAAATGAATGAATAGTTTATTGCTTAACTTAGAGAAAGCGGAAACCTAGCGTTTGTGGGAGAAACTTTCCGGTTCGATTCTTTTCGTGATCGCGATTGTCGAAGCAACATAACAGGAATCAAGATGGGTGGTAACCGGGTTCAAATTTAGTTAAATATTTTTTGAACAGTTTACAATTTTGTTTTGTTCTGGATGGTGCTATTTGTTCCGTGCCTTCCGGCAACTGGTTAGCGTAGTCTAGTCTTGGTTTCTAAGCTATCCGGGTTTGGCTATATGACTGCTACTGTATACCTCCAAAATCTGTCACGTGCCAAAGTTACGTAACCTTTTTTTTACTATTTTGATCACTTACCAGTAATTTGAATTTCTCTTATTTGATTATAGAGTACCGGTTCCTAGGCCAAAGCCTTTTTGATGATTTACATTTGGCAAATTTCATAGTTGTTGATTGTAAAATTTCACATCTATTACATCTTTCTTCCTCAGCGATTCAGTATTGTGTTGGAATCTTTTGTTATAGTATTATTAACGACTATCTCGAAAATTTCGTCATAAAATATCGTTGGCCCCTCGTAGAGAGGTGGTTCTGCCCATTGGCAGCTAGCGTGATTTCTTCACGTACTAGCCGTACAAGATTATTTGCTTTCCTATTACGATACCATCTTTTAATATTTGATTTCCGATCAAGATACGTTGTTTTAAAAACTTGATGACTTTTCTTTCTGCTGAGGTTTGGTTGTGTGTGGGCGTTGTTTCGTTAACTTCCAGATTCTTTGATTTAAAAACAGTTTCTGGAGTAGTACCCTTTTATTTTGTACCTTACGTTTAGTTGTGTTGGTTTGGGTGCTACACCGTCCATTTTCTAATCGGATTTTAACCTTCCATGGTAAGTTCTTTTTGGTATACCATCGCACCGCGTCCATTAATGCATGCCCTGAAGAAGTTTATTCAATATCTGCTTCCTTTTAGTAGAAAGGCATTGCGGAGAATCACCATCCACACTCCTTCAGCTTTGTTTTGTAGCTAGCTTGTAGCTGTTTGGCAGCCGATTTGGTTGGAAGCCATTCCTTCCCCTTGACAAAAGAAAACCTGATGTGAACAGGTAAAACATCATTTGAATTGGGTATTTTATAGATATTAATTGCTGACCGCAATTGTTAGAGTGTTCTTGATTTTGTTTGGCATTTTTCGCATTCAAATATAGGGCAGTGCCTACATGTCACCTTCTTTTGGGCTTACTACATTACATTAACCGTGATTTTCATTTTTTAGCAGCCATAATTTTAGAACAGGGAAACATTTATGAGGGTATGTCACTTTAGTACATTTTTATCTTTTTTTTATCTTTCCTTTACTTTTCTTGTGAAAGAAGATGTACTTCGATTTTTGTTCAAGTTTCAGTGTTTTCAATAAATAGTACTAGCCGTACAAGATTATTTGCTTTCCTATTACGATACCATCTTTTAATATTTGATCTCCGATCAAGATCGTTGTTTTGAAAACTTGATGACTTTTCTTTCTGCTGAGGCTTGGTTGTGTGTCGGCGTTGTTTCGTTAACTTCCAGACTCTGGGATTTAAAAACTTCAAAAAACGGTTTCTGGAGTAGTACCCGTTTATTTTGTACCTTACGTTTAGTTGTGTTGGTTTGGGTGCTACCCCGTCCATTTTCTAATCGGATTTTAACCTTCAGTGGTAAGTTCTTTTTTGTATCCCATCGAACCACGTCCATTAATGCATGCCCGGAAGAAGTTTATTCAATATCTGCTTCCTTTTAGTAGAAAGGCATTGCGGAGAACCACCATTCATGCTCCTTTAGCTTTGTTTTGTAGCTAGCATGTAGCTGTTTGGCAGCCGATTTTGCTGGAAGCCTTCCCTTCCCCTTGACAAAAGAAAACCTGATGTGAACAGGTAAAACATCATTTTAATTGGGTATTTTATAGATATTAATTGCTGACCGCAATTCTTAGAGTGTTCTTGATTTTGTTTGGCATTTTTCGCATTCAAATATAGGGCAGTACCTACATGTCACCTTCTTTTGGGCTTACCACATTACATTAACCATGATTTTGATTTTTGAGCTGCCATAATTTTAGAACAGGGGAAACATTTCTGAGGGTATGTCACTTTAGTACATTTTTATCTTTTTTTAACTTTCCTTTACTTGTCTTGTGAAAGAGAATGTACTTCGATTTTTGTTCAAGTTTCAGTGTTTTCAATAAATAATACTAGCCGTACAAGATTATTTGCTTTCCTATTACGATACCATCTTTTAATATTAGATTTCCGATCAAGATCGTTGTTTTAAAAACTTGATGACTTTTCTTTCTGCTGAGGTCTGGTTGTGTGTTGGCGTTGTTTCGTTAACTTCCAGATTCTTTGATTTAAAAAACCCCAAACTACAGTTTCTGGAGTAGTACCCTTTTATTTTGTACCTTACGTTTAGTTGTGTTGGTTTGGGTGCTAGCCCGTCCATTTTCTAATCGGATTTTGACCTTCAGTGGTAAGTTCTTTTTTTGTATCCCATCGAACCACGTCCATTAATGCATGCCCGGAAGAAGTTTATTCAATAAATGTACTTCGATTTTTGTTCAAGTTTCAGTGTTTTCAATAAATAGTTTTGTCTCAGACCGAGAGTAGAGAGTAGATTTTTAAACAGTCTTTCTCTTTCTCTAGGCGAAAGCTTTTATAGCCAATCTTGAGTATTCGAATATAATTTAAAACACGATATTAAGGATTCGTATTCGAATACCGGATTTCAGTATAAGACCCAAGTCTGTTCTGTATCTCATGCATTCATCTTATTCGTGCAAAAAAGCATCCTCACCTCTAAAATGGACAATGTGCCGTTAACCGTCAACGCGTTGCCGAGTTTCTTCGTCCTGTTGTTCCTGTCAACGGCGAACCAATCAAACTTCGCGCCCGGTTCCGCCTGAACTTCACACGTCAAATTAACAAGTTCCCCGTCTTCTATGTAGATTTCGTTATCGGCGACGTACAGTTTCCCGGAGGATGCGCTACCTAACGTTCGATTGGGCAACTCCTCTCGTAGCAACTCCTCTTTGAAGTACGGTTTATCTGAAAGTAGGGAACATGTTCAATTAACGAACCCTTGGGACAAAATCGACTCAAATGTATTGGCAAGGATCGTACATACCGTGGAGAGGATGACTGTTCCGCGTACTGATTTCGTTCGACGTAATTTTGTTAAAGCTACTGCATATACAGGTTGGTTTAAATAAATTCTACCTGGGTGTAGGTGTAAGATTTTTCTCGGATACTTGGCGGTGTCCTTGAATTTCACCCTGACATTTAAGGTCATTTCAACTCAACCCAAATATAGTTTTCTTTTAACTGAGACGCTATATTTTTAACATCGGAACTTTTGAGTTGAAACGAATCATTAACACCAAAATAATTTGACTTGTGAACGTCATGGTCGAGGTCAAAAAGCTAATCGTTAAACTAATCGCAAAAACCATACGTCCAGAGGAAATTCTTGAAGGCGACCCTGAATTTGACCTTGATACTCAAAGTCATTTCAAAGTTAATTATACCTTTTAATTGAAATGCTATATCTTTCACACCGAAAATGCGTGAGATTTAAGTTCGACCGAGTCCTTGACACTAACTCGACATTTGAAGGTCATGGTTAAGATCGAACAGCTGATCATTGAACGAAGCTTGAAAACTATGAGTTCATAAGAAATCCTTCCAGGTGTAGGTTTACGATTTTTCACTGGCTACTTGAAGGCGACCTTGAATTTGACCTTATATTCAAGGTAGTTTCAAGGTCAATCGTAGTTTTTTAACTGAGTCGCTATATCTTTAACACGGATATGGGTAAGATTTTAAGTTCGACTTAGTTCTTGTCACTAAAAGGGTCTGACATTTGAAGGTCATGGTTCAGATCCAGCAGCTAATCGGTAAGCTAATCTCGGAAACCTCTCTGGCTACTTAAAGGCCACCTTGAATTTGACCTTGATACTCAAAGTCATTTCAAAGTTACTTATACCTTTTAATTGAAATGCTATATCTCTCACAGCGAAAATGCGTGAGATTTAAGTTTGTCCGAGTCCTTGACAATAATTCGACATTGGAAGGTCATGGTTAAGATCGAACAGCTGATCATTGAACTAAGCTTGAAAACTATGAGTTCAGAAGAAATCCTTCCAGGTGTATATTCAAGGTAGTTTCAAGGTCAACCGTAGTTTTTTAACTAAGTCGCTATATCTTTAAGAGCGGATATGTGTAAGACTTTACGTTTGCCTCAGTTCTTGTCACCAAAAGTGTCTGACCTTTGAAGGGCATGGTTCAGATCCAGCAGCTAATCGGTAAGCTAATCTCGAAAACCTCTCTGGCTACTTAAAGGCCACCTTGAATTTGACCTTGATACTCAAAGTCATTTCAAAGTTAATTATACCTTTTAACTGAAATGCTATATCTCTCACACCGAAAATGCGTGAGATTTAAGTTTGACTGAGTCCTTGACAATAATTCGACATTGGAAGGTCATGGTTAAGATCGAACAGCTGATGATTGAACTAAGCTTGAAAACTATGAGTTCAGAACAAATCCTTCCAGGTGTAGGTTTACGATTTTTCACTGGCTACTTTAAGGCGACCTTGAATTTGACCTTATATTCAAGGTCAACCGTAGTTTTTCAACTGAGTCGCTATATCTTTAACAGCGGATATGTGTAAGACTTTACGTTTGCCTCAGTTCTTGTCACCAAAAGTGTCTGACCTTTGAAGGGCATGATTCAGATCCAGCAGCTAATCGGTTAGCTAATCTCGAAAACCTTTCTGGCTACTTAAAGGCCACCTTGAATTTGACCTTGATACTCAAAGTCATTTCAAAGTTAATTATACCTTTTAACTGAAATGCTATATCTCTCACACCGAAAATGCGTGAGATTTAAGTTTGACTGAGTCCTTGACAACAATTCGACATTGGAAGGTCATGGTTAAGATCGAACAGCTGATCATTGAACTAAGCTTGAAAACTATGGGTTCAGAAGAAATCCTTCCAGGTGTAGGTTTACGATTTTTCACTGGCTACTTTAAGGCGACCTTGAATTTGACCTTATATTCAAGGTAGTTTCAAGGTCAACCGTAGTTTTTTAACTGAGTCGCTATATCTTTAACACGGATATGGGTAAGATTTTAAGTTCGACTTAGTTCTTGTCACTAAAAGGGTCTGACATTTGAAGGTCATGGTTCAGATCCAGCATCTAATCGGTAAGCTAATCTCGAAAACCTCTCCGGCTACTTAAAGGCCACCTTGAATTTGACCTTGATACTCAAAGTCATTTCAAAGTTAATTATACCTTTTATCTGAAATGCTATATCTCTCACACCGAAAATGCGTGAGATTTAAGTTTGACCGAGTCCTTGACACTAACTCGACATTTGAAGGTCATGGTTAAGATCGAACAGCTGATCATTGAACTAAGCTTGGAAACTATGAGTTCAGAAGAAATCCTTCCAGGTGTAGGTTTACGATTTTTCACTGGCTACTTTAAGGCGACCTTGAATTTGACCTTATATTCAAGGTAGTTTCAAGGTCAACCGTAGTTTTTTAACTGAGTCGCTATATCTTTAACAGCGGATATGTGTAAGACTTTACGTTTGCCTCAGTTCTTGTCACCAAAAGTGTCTGACCTTTGAAGGGCATGGTTCAGATCCAACAACTAATCGTTAAGCTAATCTCGAAAACCATGAAGACAGAAGAAATTCTTCTAAGTGTATGCCTAAGATTTTTCTCTGGCCACTTGCAGGCGATCTTGAATTTGACCTTGTCATTCAAGGTCATTTCAAGCTCAACTATATTTTTAAATGAGATGCTATATATTTCACTCCGGCAATAAGGTAAGATTTTGTTCGAATGGGTCCATGACACCGGAGGAGTTCGACATTTGAAGGTCATAGTCAAAGCCTCACATCTAATCGTCAAACTAATCATAAGAAGAGTTGAAACAAAATCTACTCAACCAAGAGCTTAACATTTTTCACTGGCCATTTGACGATTATCTTGAATTTGACCTTGACCTTGACCTTCAAGATCATTTGAAGGTCAAATCTATTTTTAAATGCAAGAGGCTTAAGGTTATCTTATCGATTAAACATTAGATCCTGAGCACAATTTTGAAAATCATTTTCTTAGAAGTCAGGACTGATCTTGGCGTAACACTTTCCGCTCTATGAATTGCCGTTGTGAAATCTTTGTAAGCATGCGTCAGATAGCCAGGAATTTTTTCGGCTATGCTTGGGTAGAATTTCTTTTAGATAGACTAGTTCATCGATTAGATATTATGTATCGATTAGGTATTGGACCTTCAACACAGCCTTCCAAGGAATTTTTTTTGGGATCGCATTTAGTCCTATCATATTCCGACCTTCAACTAAACTTTTTTACTGATACTGATAATAAGTTAAATCTGTACAATACAGACATCTACCCGTTCAATCAACAATTTGAAATAGCTCCTCAGTCATGTATCTGTTCGTCCCGACAGACTGAAAACAGCACTGCAAACAGGGAATATTTTGCAACGTTCATATCCAGGGAAAATTGACAGTTCACAATTCAACAAAAATAGATTAACAGTAAGCAACTAATGCAGTGTATATTTGGTTATTAATTCCGTGTTGTGTATACAATGTCAACAGCGGCTGAAATATTTTGACTGTTTATATCTGACACGTATCCCGAAATGTAATGAATCACAGTAAAGCAAATATGGAAGTTTTGATATATTGTATTCTAATAAATCCACGGTACGAGAGTCGATTTTAAAACTACGTTATACTACACGCGCAACCCTAGAATTAGGTTCCATATATTATGGAGACCTTACTCCTGTCATCTTTTGCAAAGTTCGCTATGTGAATCTTCTTTTTTTATACCAACAGGAAGCAAAACACCATAAAGTCACATCTCCCTTCTCAAATTAGATACAGATATACTTCGGTAACTACAGACTAAAAGATGTGTCGACCACCATAGGTTACTTAACCAGATGTCACGTGACTATATCATATACTTACGTTGTACCTTAAGTCTTATCCGGCAATTTTGTATTTCTCCAAGTTTTCCCGGAACAAGGCACACGTATTCCTTGCGTGCATCCTTGGGCCTTAGATTACTAATTTTCAAATCGTCCGTCACTCGCTGATATTTTGGAGGTAACAATTCTGAAAATAACGAAATTGAGAATACTAAATGTCAATCTCAATCCGCGGTGAATTTACACTGCAGGGCTAGCTAAAAACATGTACAGCAAAAAAATAAATAGAACAAGTCAGTACATTAGTCCATGATCCATAGCTCCATTTGATAACGCTAAAGGTAGTTTCTTTTCTGTCATAAACATCGACAATCTGGCAACGGTGCGGAACCACACCTATAACTCGAGATCGAGAACACAAGCGATGCCGTCAGCCGCGCACAGTATCTGACGCATGAAAGTTGTAAGGCCAAATGTTTGGAGAAACCTTTATTTTATTTATTTATGTATTTAACGTTTAAGAAACTTCACAATTACATAACAGATTTTCAGAAGATCTTCGTATCAAATATATCTATTCTGTTTTGTACCTTGTTCAAATAGTTACACACGTAATATAAGGGAGAATGCAGCAGTACGCCTTGGGGTTGGTAAATAAAAGGTATAATATTTCTGCTGAGACATGTTGATATATTAAACGACAAGCGAATCCGCGGACAATAATATTTGTTACGAACAACCTTGAATAAAAATATTAACGAGTGCATTTTTCTTCTGTGAGCTAAACTTAGCATATCGTGCCTCTTTAATACAACATCTTGCGGTCTAACTATTTCTGGACATACAACAACTAACCTATAGGACAGATATTTCAGAAACTTTGTATACTTTCTAGTGATTCACAAGGCGTCACATAGCAAAAAATTCTAGCATATTCAAGTTTTGACATCACAAATCCATTACACAACATGAGTAGAGGATTTATGCTATCAAAATCCCGAGAGTTGCCTAACACAAAACCCATACTTTTATTTTCAGAGTTTATAACATTATTTATATGCATATTTTA